CGTACCGAAAAAAAAAAAAAAAAAAAATGAAGAAAGTCAGGATTCCCTTATATGAGGATATTTGCAAACGAGGCTCCTGGAATTGGGCAAGAGACGTAATGTCTGAGTATACTGAGGGGTTGAGGAGGAAGTGCGGGCAGCTTTAAGACGCTCACGTTTCCAGATGGCTCTTTCATAGCACTCAGACTAGATTGTTTTTGTTCATTTGTGTTTTGTGTTTTTTGTTTTTTTTTGCGGTACACGGGCCTCTCACTGTTGTGGCCTCTCCCGTTGCGGAGCACAGGCTCCGGATGTGCAGGCTCAGCGGCCATGGCTCACGGGCCCAGCCACTCCGTGGCATGTGGGATCTTCCCAGACCGGGGCACGAACCCGTGTCCCCTGCATCGGCAGGCGGACTCTCAACCACTGCGCCACCAGGGAAGCCCCATTTGTTTGTTTTTAGTGTGCATCAGCTCACAGAAAGGGATTCGTAGAATATTTACAAAACCAGGTCTATGAACGTGGGTGGTACTAGAGCAGTGAGCAAAGAGATGAGGTGACAAGCCCCAGGGGTCCCAATGTGAGTAAGTGGGTGACAGCCCTGCAAAACCTCAGTGGGGAATCACCTGTGCCTTTGCCCCTCTCTCATGGCCTCAGCAAGCCAGCACTGATTGTATTAGACCTGGGACTCCACAGCGCAGGGAGAGAAAAGACACAACTCCAGACAGCAATCTGAAACGAATTGTGTCTTTTATTAACCCCGGTTCCCCAGCCCCCCCCAAATTTAATGGGATTAAACCATGGAGAGGCCAGGCTACTTCCCTACTTTATTTTTAGCAAAATGTCAATGAGAGGCCCAGCAGGGACATCCTGTTTTTAATTAAACTTGAAGAGCCCTGTTCTTGTCTCTGGGTAAATACAACCGCTATGGGACACCCAGGAACCCAGCTCTGGTTCTGCCCTAGGCAGGCTTAGGACAGCGCCACCTGCGGCCAGGGGAATTACCAGCTTCCTCTTGATGTGTGTGTGTGTGTGTGTGTGTGTGTGTGTGTGTGTGTGTGTGTGTGTGTGTGTGTGTGTGTGATTTTTCTTTTTCCCTCTGAATGAACCACCTTTTGGAATGTTGGAAAGGAAGGGCTCATGTCTGAACTGATAAAGGTTGTGGGATTAACTAAGGGCAGGCGCAATTCCAAGAGCTAAAGTTCACTCTTCTCTCTGAAGGAAACCAGACTGGCTTTTCATCAGAAGATGTAAGGTCTTCCAACAGGACACCCAAGGCCCCATGACAACCCACCAAGGGTAAAAGAAGTTAAGCAGTATAGGGTTGTTCTTAGATTATCGATAAAGAAAAGCATCCTGCTTAGAAGGATATTACATACCAGGAAAGGAGGGTAGAGAGAGGCCATGAGAATCTTTCTTGGAAATACTCTTAAAATGGGATCAACATCTATGTATCTAGAACAGCGTAAGCACTTTCTTGTTTAGCGCTAGAAGAATACAGTAAGTCAGTAAATCCTTAATGTTCTCCCAAAGTGCTGTAGATACTTTCACAGGCAGGGAGAGGATGGGGGGGAGAATAAGGGCCCTACCCCTTTTTTCAACCAAAGCAGCTCCGTTCTTATATTAGTTTTCACAAAAGATTTTACTTGAAACTCATTATTGCCCAGGCCCCTGCCCCCACTCATGTTTGTTTGTTTGTTTGTTTCTTGGTAAACAGTCCTACCATCCACCATCCTGTAATCAAGTCAAAGACACCTTTAATATGGCTCTAACCACC